GCTACTAACACCTGCTTCAAACTATACCACAGAGTTACAGCAACAAAACCAACATGGAGCGGGCTTGGCAGTGTACACCTGTTATCCCTGTGCTCTGGGAGGCTGAGGCAGGAGGGTTACAAGTTCAAACCCAGCCTGGGCCACTCGGTGACTAAGTGAGACCCTGTCTCAAAATAAAAGGGGGAGGGGGGAGGAAGTGGCTCATTGTAAAGGCTCTGTGTTCAATCCCCAGCACCATAAAAAAATGATTTTTTTTTATCTTTTTAAAAGATAAGATCTTGCTGTGTAGTTCAGGCTGGCCATGCGCTCACTATAGAGCACAGGCTGGCTTTGAACTCACAGTGACCCACCTGCTTCAGCCTCCTGAGGAAATGAATCTTCATCTTAAAAAAAGTAGGACCAAGGAGATAGCTCAGTGTCACAAGTACATGCCTGGTCCTGAGTTCAATCCTTGGTACAAAATATAAAATAAAATAGCACATAAGAATGTACACAGTCAATAATTTCTGACATTGCCAGTTAAACAGGCAATGCTATTATGGGCTACTGGACTCTTTTAGAATATTTTGCTGAGTTTACACACCTATAATATTCAATAACGGAACTTAGAAAAAATGGGGTATACCGATGAATGTCCATTTTGTATCTGTGTATTCAAAGTGGTTAGGATAGATATATAGTTGCATTCTCTTAATGAATAGAATGATTTGTTCTAATGGTGTTTGTAAATAGGATCACAAGTCTACTTCTTGTACAGCAATTAACCACTAAGAAGAATATATGCAATGTATTATTTGTTGAAACTGTACTTCCGATTTGATTTGAAACTGTCTCATTGCTATCTGTTTATCAATAAAACTTTGGAAGAAAAAAAAAAAAAGAATGTACACAGGTTCTGCAGCCATACTGTGGGCTTTCAGAGAAAGGGTATGGGCAGCTTGGACTTTGCTTTGCGCGTCTGCACCAGTCCTGTCATTTGCTTCTCGTACCCAGGAATGGTTCTTGACAACAGGTGCTGACCCCAGGCCCTGAAGGCTCATGGAGAACAATCGGGACTTCAGGGCCAGCCCCAGCAATGGGCAGCATAACAATGTAACAAGACCCTGTCTCAAAACAAAGAACAGCAAACTGCACAGCACTGTGGGAGGCACCCCTCAGGGGCTTTCGGTTTGGGTAGCTGGGGTGGTGGCCCCCCTGATTCAAGGGGTGGGAAGTTAATGCATTTTGAAAGATGAGCCAGTGCTGGGCAGAAAAGAGAGAATTTCTCAGACCTCTTTTATTTGTTTTTTTATTTTTGGTACTGGGAATCAAACTCACAGCCTTGGGCTTGCCAGGCAGGCGCTGTGCCTGAGCTATATTCCTGGCCCCTTTCTTTGGAACTTTTTCATCTGTCAGCTTAGACTGTAAGAAGGCCCTGTGGGGACAAAGGACAGGTGGCTTGTTGCACTGGGTGTCACTGAGTTCTGGGTGCAAACCCTAAGCCAGGAACAGAAAAATAGCACCTGGCTGGAGGCCCCTATGCTCTGCTGGGACTCGATGGATTCTGATTAAAATCCCTTCAAAGGCCTAGCACTCGGGAGGCTGAAGCAGGAGGATCCCCAAGAGTTCCAGGCCAGCCTGGACTACACAGTAAGACGGTCTCCAAAATTCCAAACAAAACAGAACAAAAAGAAAAATCCCTTCAAAGAAATACAGGTGCTTTGATGGACTCAAAGGTCACCTGAGGGCCTAGACAGCTGTCCCCACGGGCAGGGTGCACACCCCCAAGGACAGCTGTGCCAGGCTCCTCACGATGTGCTTCAGGGCTGTAACGGGGCTTTACCTGGCCCTGAGTCCTGTGAGGACAAAGGCCTGGCTCATTCACTCCTACACGCCTCAGCCGATGCTGAGGCAGGTGGCCTGTAACAGTGCCAGCTGGAAGAACTCCTCACATGGCTGCAGCGTCTCTGGACAGTGCCCTGACCACCATGTTCCTCTTGGACAATACAGTGTTTCATCTCTCTCTCTCTCTCTCTCTCTCTCTCTCTCTCTCTCTCTCTCTTTCTCTCTTTCCCCCCTTCCTCTCCCCCTTCTCCTCCTCCCTCTCTTCTCCCCCCTCCCCCTCTGCCCCTCTTCCCCCTCCTCTCTCTCTGTCTCTGTCTGTCTGTCTGTCTCTCTTTCCTTTCCTTTTCTTTTTTCCCCAGTACTGGGGGTTGAAGCCCAAAGCTCTTGTTTATTTTTTGAAGCAGTGTATCACCCAACTTCACATTTTCATTTAAGAATCCCTAGCCAACACTGGGCATGGGGGTGCGCACCCATCATCCCAGTCCTCTGGGAGGCTGAGGCAGGAGGCTCACAGCCAAGCAGTTTAATCACTTAGTTAGACCCTATCTCAAAAGCGGGGGGCCTGGAGATGCAGCTCAGGGTGAAAAGCTCTGGATTCCATCCTCAGTGCTGTAGGAAAACGGAAAAAAAACCGGGGGAGCTGCCACCTCCCATCTCCCAGCTTCTCTGGAGAAGCAGGAGCTAGGCAACACAGGGCACGTCCCCATGGCAACCGCAGTGCGAGGCTTGCAGGGCTTCCGGGAGCCTGGCCGGGCCCTCCTGCCGCGCAGATGGATTCGTCCTCCAGAGCCTTCCAGGCCCCCACCACGGGCATCTGAGGTTTCGCCCAGGGACCCAGCATCCCATGGTTTAGGTGGCAGTGGCAGCCCTGAAGCCCAAGCAGTGAACTGTTTTATTTTTTAATTTTTCCACTACTGGGAATCGAACCCACAGCCTTTGCAATGAACTTCATCCCCCACCATTTAAATTTATTTTTCTTTTTTCTTTTTTTTTTTTTAGACAGGGTCTCCACTAAGAAGCTGAGGTGCCCAGGCCATGACAGAATTTGTGTGGTCCGTCAGCCCCTTGAGCAGCTGGGGTTCCAGGTGCGCTTGGGCTCCCGTGGCTGGCTGTGCTCATTGTTGCAGGTGTAGCAAACTCCGTGTCCTTGTTGTCATTTTTTTCGGGGGGGGGGGGGAGGCGTGAGGACACGTCCGCACGCGCATGCGCGCACATGCGCCCTCGCCCTGGGTCACTCACTGTGCGCTCGAACTCCTTGGCCTGCGTCAGCTCCTGCGGGAAGCCATTGATGATGAAGCCCCGGCTGTTTGCGTGGGACAACATCTTTTTGATGACCAGGTCCAGGGCAACACCCTGGGGGGAAAGGATGGGGTCAGTGCCTGGGCAGATCAATCCCTCCAGCCTGGACCTCAGGGCAGGGCAGGGGACACCTTGCGTCTCCCAGTGCCCCGGATTGCTTTTTCTTCCTTTTCTTTGCAGTGCTGGGGATTGAACTTTAGCACCTTAGACATGCGAGGCAGGTCCTCTGCTGTGGAGCTTCACCCAGGCCCTGAATTGCTCCCTTTTTTTGGAAACAAGATGTCACTTTTTTTCATTCTTTTTTTAGACAGGGTCTCCGCTAAGAGGCTGGCGTACCCAGGCCATGCCAGAACTTGTGTGGTCTGTCAGCCTCGTGAGCAGCTGGGGATCCAGGCGGGCGCGGGCTCCGATGGTGGGCTCTGCTCACTGTTCTAGGTGTAGCAAACTATACCTAGAAGGCCAGAGAGATAGCTCAGCAGCATAAGCATCTGCCTGGCAAGGGCAAGGTCCTGAGTTGGATCCCCATTACCCCCACAAAAAAATCTCACTATGGCTGGGCATGACGTCCTATACCTGTAATCCTAGTATTCTGAAAAGGCTGAGGCAGGAGGATCACAAGTTTGAACCCAGGCTGGGCAACTTACTTAGCAAGACCCTGTGTGGGCTCAGTACAAAGGCCCTGGGTTCAATCCTTAGAACCACAAAAAGAAAGAAAAGTCCCATCCTGTTTCCTAGTCTGGCCTCGCATTCCTGGGCTCAGGAACCCTCTTGCCTCAGCCTCCTGAGTCCACCCTGGATTCTGAGTCTGCTCTCGGGTGTGAGGGAAACGGCTCCAAGAACTGGATCGTGTGTGTGTGTGTGGGGGGGGTGTCCTCGGGGCCCAGACTCACTGGGTGTCATTTAATCCTCCAGTGACATGACATTAGGAAAGGTACAGGGGTGGTGTTGCTTTTGCAGGTGGCAAAGCAGCTCAGGGAGGGGCCGATGAGGCCTGCAGGATCCTATAGGAAAGTGACTTTGAGCTGGGCATGGCGGTGCACGCCTGTAACCTCAGCACTCAGCAGGCTGAGGCAGGAAGATCGTTGAGAGCTCAAGGCTAGCGTGGGCTACAAAGTGAGCTCAAGGCCAGCCTGAACTGCATAGTGAGACCCTGTCTCAAAAAGAGGAGAGAGAGAGAGAGTGAGTGATGTTTCTCAGGTCCAAAGTTGCATGATTCCAGGACCCTTACAGGCACCGACACACGAACATGCTTGAGTCCCTCAGATAACATCGTGGAGCGAGGTATGGTGGCACATACCAATAGCCTCGGCATGCTGGAAGACTAAGGCAGGAAGATTCCAATTCCTAGCTGTGGCTTATTGAGGGACTTATGGAGATCCTATTTCTCTCTCTCTCTCTCTCTCTCTCTCTCTCTCTCTCTCTCTCTCTCTCTCTCTCTGTATTTGGTACAGGGTCTCGCTATGCACCTAGGACTCAGTGATCCTCCTGTCTCAGCCTCCCCAGAGCTGGGATTACAGGCATGTGCCACCACAACATCCACCCCCCTCAGTTGCTGGCTCAGTGTGCCCTGGGGGTGGGCCAGCACTGCATGTGGTGGTGCGGGGGTGGAACCCCAGTCCCTGGGCTTGCCTAAGCAGGCACTCAGTCTGCTGAGCTATCTCCCAGCCCTGGCCTTGAACTCTCGAACTCTCGAACTCTCCATGATGCTCCTGCCTCAGCCTCCCGAGCACTATGTTGACAGGCATGTACCACCATGCCTTGCTTGATGTGTCTTTTGCAGTTAAGAGCAGGAGTACACTTGGTGCAGCTGCAAAGCTGGGAAGTTGGTCCCAAATCCACCCCATCCCTGACCTCTCCCCATCCCCGGGCGGTCTCACCGTGGGCACCAGGTGCCCCCGCAGCATGATGTCTTGGATCTTCCGGCCCTGCCATGTGCTCCGCTGGGCCTCTTGCCTTAATAGCTGACCCAGGCTCAGGTAGTAGAGGCCATACCTGGTGGCCATGTTCCTGCACTGTATCCCTTTGCCGCAGCATGGGCCGCCCAGCACAAAGATGATGAGGGAGTCCTTGAGCGCGTCTGTGGGCAGAAGAGCAGCACCTAGGGTGAGCGCCATGGGGGAGGGGCTACGTGGCCCAGGCTGACCTCGGACTTGCAGCCATCCTCCTGCCTCAGCCTGTCCGGTGCTGGGAGTACAGGTGTGCACCATCATAAAGAGGCCTTAGCACTTCTGGCACTCTGGTGGCCTCAGGGAACACATGCTGTGTGCAGGGGGAGAGGCCGGGACACTGGCCTGCTGCTGCTGCGCGACGCCATGCTGAGATGGGAGCGTTTCCTTGAAAAACCCAATGACCCCATCTTCCTATTTTACAGTTAAGGAAACTGAGGCTCAGAGAAGGACGGGGCCCAGACCACCCACCCCTGCCCAGCAGCTTCCGTTCAGCTCCTTGCATCTCTGGCTTCACGCTTCCTTTGCTGCTGCCTCCACCAGAAAGACTCTGGGCTGCCTCAGGTTCTCCTAGCCACAGCTCACATCTGACTTCTCCACCTCTGTGCAGTGAGCCTCCTGCCCAACTCCTCCTGCCTCGGAGCCCCTTTTCCCATCCAGCAATGGCAACCACCAGTCATGTGCATCCCTGGTGCTTTTCTGTTCCCAGAGAAAGTCTACTCTGCATAACAGCAAGAACTACTTCTTCTGCACGCCTCCCTACGCTCCCACTGGTTGTCACAGTCGCTGACATCTAGTAGCAGACAGGGAGTACACGAATGTCCAAGGCCACCAGTTAGTGTGTGGGCCAGTTTTTGTGTCTTGCTTTCCCCGTCCTTGTTTATCCAACTCCTACGCATCCATCAGGGCCCAGTTGAAACCTGCCCCTTTTCCTGATTCCCCAGCTAAGGGTGAGAAATCATTCAACTATGTTTGGAAAAGATGAATGAATGGCCAGGTATGATGGCATAAGCCCATAATCCCAGCACTCAGGAGACTAAGGCAGGAGGATTGGCATGAGTTCAAAGACAGCATGGGCTGTCACTAGTGTGGGCTACATACTGAGTTCAAAACCAGCCTGAATTACAGAGAGAGGCCCTGTCTAAAATAAAAAAATCAGAAAAAGGTGAATAAATGGCCGAGCCAAGAGCATGCACAGTGATTATTGCCAGAATAGGGGTGGTCCGGAGAGAGGGTACCCCTGCGTCTCCCCAGTGCCCTCTATGGTCTCCTTCCTTTCCCCCTCAGAAAGGCAGCTATCCCCACTATATTACCCTTTTCCTGGGATCTCAGTGGTCTGCCCTTCTGGGGCAGCTTGGACTTGAACAACCCCATGTGGCCAGCAGCCCTTGGGGCAGTCGTGCCACCTCCTGCTCCTGGCCCTGACCCCTCCCGGCTCTGCTCAGTGTCACAAAGGCTCCTGTCCTGATCATTTCTGCGAGATGATGGGGATCTGCCATCGCACACAGTGGCAGGGAGCTGGAAATGAACGTTAAGCAGGCCCAAGCAGAGCCTGGGGAAACTGCGACCCCGCCAAGCAGACCTTGGTTGCTATGGCGACGAGGACTCCTCACACGGGCTCCCGAGCCGACTGGCACATGCGCAGAACGCGCTGCAGCTCGCGGCTTCTTTCTTCGCCTCACCTGGGTGCCCACCGCCCGAGTATGACGTCATGGAGGAAGGTGTCGTGGTTACTTTATTAGCTCTACAAGTGCGCCAACCTCCAGTTGGGCACGCACTAAACTACACCTTCCGGCCTTTTTAAAATCTTGAAACAGGGTCTCCCTAAATTTTCTAGGCTGACCTGGAACTTGTGATTTTCCTGTTTGCTTGCTTGCTTTTTTTTTTTTTTTTTTAGACAGTCTTACCAATGTAGTTTAGGCTGTTTTTTTTTTTTTAATATTTATTTATTGGGGCTGGAGAGATGGCTCAGTGGTCTAAAGCACCTATTTGGAGCAAGCTTAGCAAAGCATCTGGGACTGCGGTTCAATCCCCCAGCACCACATGCCAGCCAGCCCCGCCCCCTGGTGGGCTGAGCTGGCCACACACACACACCACTCTCTCTCTCTCTCTCTCTCTCTCTCTCTCTCTCTCTCTCTCTCTCTTTCAAATAAATAAAAAAAAATAAAATAAAATAAAACAATTTAATATTTATTTATTTATTTTATTTATTTAGTGTGTGTGTGTGTGTGTGGCCAGCTCAGCCCATCAGGGGGCGGGGCTGGCGGGCATGTGGTGCTGGGGATTGAATCGCGGTCCCTGTGTTTTGCTTAGCTTAGCTTGTTCTAAGTAGGTGCTTTAGACCACTGAGCCATCTCACCAGCCCCTGGTTTTTTTTTTTTTTTAAATTTTATTTTAGTCACTTATTTGTTTTTTCGTTTGTTTGTACAGGGTCTTGCTGTCAGCTCAGTGATCTAGACTCGGTGGCCAGCACGGTACGCCCTGCTAGCATGGCGTATGGCACTGGGGATCGAACTTGGGACCTTGTTCTTGCCAGGCAGGCGCTTAGACTGCTGAGCTATCTCCCCAGCCTTAGGCTGATGTTAAACTCACAATGTAGTCCAGTCTGGCCTCGAACTCGCAGTGATCTCCTGATTCAGCCTCCCTATTGCTGGGGTTACAGGAGTGCACTACGATGCCCGGCTACTTTAGTCTTTCAAGTAACTGGTATTAAAGGTCTCTGAGTTTTAATCTCAAATTGGCCTGGGTCTGAAAAAACGGTGGAGGGGCGGGGGATATGGCTCAGTGGAATAAGCGCTGCCCTGGCAAGCGCAAGGGCCTAAATTCAATCCCTGGTTCCAGAAGAAGAAGAAGAAGAAAAAAAAAAAGAATTAGTGAAAAAAAGTGGGGTTTTGGGGATGTGACAGTTTGTGTGTATGTGCGTGTTACTGCAGCTCAAGTCGAGAAGTGCTTTGCCATTGAGCTACACCCTCAGCTTTAATTATTTATATTTGAGACAGTGTCTCGCTATGCAGTTCAGGCTGGCCTTGAGCTCACTTTGTAGCCCAGGCTGGCCTCGAACTCGCAGCGACCGTCTGGCCTCAGCCTCCCGAATATCGGGATCACTTGAGTGCGCCACTACACCTGAGCGGCTCCTTTTGAGATGGTCTCCAGACTGCCCAGGCTGGATTTGAATTTTCGATTCTGCTGCCTCAGCCTCTGTCTCAGTGCTGGGATTAGAGGTGTATACAACCAGACCGAGCTCCTAAATGACAGCCCTGAGCAAAACGCACCTAGCAAAGCGGTTGTCATGGCGACGCCGCCCGCGAAGTTTAACTTCCGGGTTAGGCGGCGACACATGCGCAGAAGGTACCAGCCTAGGGCCACTTCCGGGTAGCTTTTCCCAGGGCTGGAGGCGCGAGGTGCTTTGGGTCCTAGGTCCGGCCCTGAGATCCGACGCCTGGAGAGCTGCCTCTCTGGACTCACGAAAAGCATCAGGGTCGCAGCGGGCCCGAGCGGCTGAGTGTTGTCAATGGCGACCCTGGTGAGTACGAATGAGGCGGGGCTCGGGCTCCCGGGGCTGCCTGGCGGCCCCTCCTCACGCATCCTCCCTCCTCCCCTCTCCGCAGGGACCCGGCAGCCAGAATGTCACCGAGTACGTCGTCCGAGTTCCCAAGTAAGTCCCGATCCGCCTCCCACCCGCAACCGCCGGAAGGCACGAAAGCCCGCGGGAGCTCGTGGGGGTCCCCAGCCCCGCGGCGCTTCCCCGGGAGTCCGGCCGTGGGCGGGTCGGTCCCCGGCGCGCTCTGCACCGGCCGGGCGCTCGAGGCGGGGCGGCTCCCGCGTTCCGAGCTGTCAGTCTCCGCCTGCAGCTGTGTCCCCTTTCAGCTGGCCCGCGCTTCGCACAGCGTTACCTTCCGCCAGGACTGCAACTCTCTACCCATCCCCAACTGCTGTTCGCTGCGTGGATTAAAACTTTTTGAAAATTTTGTTGTTTTGTTGTCCTTTTTAGATAGGGTTTCACTGTGCAGTTCAAGCTGGCCCTGAGCTCATTTTTGTGGCCCAGGCTGGCCATGAACTCGGCGATCCTCCTGCCTCAGCCTTCTGAGTACTGAGATTACAGGCATGGACCAACACGCCCAGATTTTATAT